AACATTAATTGACAAAAGATTATCTTGAAGCCAACCATGAATGTCTGAAGATCTGCTTGTAACTGACTATTAATAGATTCAATATTGAAATCAGACMAAAAAAGAACAGAAGGAATGCAGTTTTCATGCTGAGCTGACTGACTTGTTGTTGTTCTGGGCGTGGAATAACTGTGTGTGATCTAATATCAAGACATGTTTGATTCAGTGTCTTTCATTCGTTCAAAGGTGAGGACATTGACACGTCCTCACTTTACATCAAAGGCCTCACTTTGATAGTAACTATGACACAAATGGTCCTCACTTTGTAGTAGAAACAAGTACACACACACACACCCATGTCTGGTTTTTATACCCCTGTGGGGACCGTGGATTGCCTCATTTTGCCCAGGACATTTTCTCTAAGGCTAACCTCGGTGGCTTCATGCCTCATATTAACCGTATTACATATTTCAACCTGGTATTAGGGAGCACAACAATCTAGAGCGGGGGTGTCCAAACTTTTTTTAGTGAGGGCCAAATACAGAAAAATAAACAAAGGGCCGGGCCGCACACTAGAAGTGACATATTGATACATCAATAATGTGTGTATTTTTAACTCACCTATGTGAAGAACATTGTGTACATAAGTGTAGCAACTTCATAACTTGCTGTTGTGGCATTTTCCTGTATTTTCTTAGCACGAAAAAAACTGCTGTTGAGCTTGCAGGCTAGCTGCCATTTGCTYGAGTTTCTGTGTTCGTTCGGCACCAGTGTACGAGGTGTAGCTCCGATGTTTGGTCTCATAATGCCGACGGACATTATATTCTTTCATCACAGCAACATCTTCATTGCAAATCAAACATACACTTTCTGTTGATTTCTTTGAAAAAATACTCGTTTTCCCACCGTGTTTGAAATCTCCTACACTCGCTATTTTTCGTTTCTTCAGCGCCGCCATTTCTGGAGATTCAAACTGAACGCAGTGTCGCAATCACAAAAAGGTTCTTCTTCTCTTCTCTATAATTTCGTTTCTGTGGCTGGCTCCATCCAGTGTTGAAACTGAGAAGTGCAACAGATTTGAGCTCAAACTTCTTGTGCAGGCCATATCCAATTATATTTTCAGAATTTGCTACGGGCCAATAAAAACTGGACCGCGGGCCGCAGTTGGCCCTTGGTCCGTAGTTTGGACACCCCTGATCTAGAGACTCCGGTCTACTTGAACCTAGCCCAGGTCATTTTCTCTAAAATTAACCTCAGTGGCTTTATGTCTCATAATAAACGGATTGAACCTGAATATCAAAGAATGAACAATTAAACTAAATTGGATTTTTTGACACAGCGGGGCTTGGTCAACCCTGTCTGGGCCGTCCTTGGGTGAGGGTGTATAGTGGTAATGGCCGAAACACCCGAGGATCCTGGAGTTCACTACTGATGATGTGTCTTATATTAATTCCTTGACTGACGAAAATACCCGTACGGTAAACTTGTACACTGCAAAAACTGTCCACATAACCAAGTTTTAAAATCTTATTTCAGCCAAAAAGTCTTTTTGATCTTGTTTTGAGAC